AATTCCAATTTTTGAAACCAATGTTGTTAATATTAAAAATAAATTTTGTAATAAAAGTAATATTTATAAAATTATTTTCTGTTTTATATAATTAATAATCATCTCATTTGATACTCAATTTAATAAATTGAATAATTCTATTGAGTCTCGTCCCAAAAAATAATAAATTTAGCATCATTTGTCATAGTTCCGAATAAGTAATTATTCTCAAATTTCAGTTTTGTTGAAATTCGATATCTGCCATGAGTTTATTTAGTTAGTAAATAAACATGAAATTTATGTCTTAATAATATAATCTCCTTCTCTTTGTTAAAATAAATTGGAAACATATTATAATTCCATACATCAGAGGATTCTATTAACTGTTATTCTTTTTCTATTTATTCTACAAACTCTCCATTAATTAATTCAAAATAACTTACACAATCTTTTCCATTTGGAACTCCACCAGCCCAAATAAATTGGTTCTCTTTAATAAAACAGACAGTAACTCCATTTTCATTTATTGATTATTTATACTGATTGAAATATGAAGTTATGAAATTATATTTTATTATTATTAAATTTAAAAGTGATAAATTTATTATTTAAAATACTTTTATATATTTCCCATTATAGCAATTTAATAAAATTCCCATTTATTTTTTTTTGTTTTCTTCCAAGTTATTATTTATTAATCTGCTCCACAAGAAACTAAGATAGTCTCTGATTCATTTAATGATAGCCCAAAGACATTTTGAGTATGTTTCATTAAAGAATAAGAGAACTTCAGATTATTATTATCAAAATCAACTTACCATATTTTAATCGTTTTATCTTAACCTCCAGAAAATAATATATTCTCATTTTTACATAATAATAAACATTGAATCCAACCAGTATGTTGTTCATATGATAATTAACACTTCCATTCTTATCCATTTACTTGTTTCCAACATCCGATTATATTATCACCTGATCCAGAAATGAAACTATTTTATATTTTACTAAAAAGTAAACAACTTATAGTCTATTTATGAACTTATAATTTTTAAACTTCTTAAATCTAGCCATCTTTAAAATCCCATACTTTTATATCTTTAGAACAACCAGAAACCATAATTTATCCAGTATAGTTAAATGCAATGGCCCAACAATCTTATTATTATTTTAATTGATTATTAATAGGTTTGAGAGTGATTTTAGGGGATTAAATTTAAATAATTTCTAATAAGGAATCTTTAATTTAAGTTATATATTTTCTATAGTCTGAATTGAATTTGGTTAATATAAATTGCATTTTATTAATTGATGCATTATTAGACTTAATAAATGATTCAACTAATAATTCGTAATCCTTTTCATGAGATTGTGATTAATTAATAAAATTATCCAATTCCTAAATAAAATTATATGTATAATTAGCTTACTCTTTAGCAATCAAACTATCGATCTAATAATTTAATTCAATTTTAATTGAATCAATAGTTTTATTAAATGTAGATTTCTATTGATCGATATAATTATATAATTTAGTGAGTTGTTCCTTTTTCTAAGATATAAATGAGATTTTCTTTTGTAGATTATCTTTAATATTGTTTTCAATTTATGATTCAATAATATTTAAATCTAACATTTGGTTATCTGATCTAATATTTAGCATGCATTCACTGCATAGTAGTCTCTCATTCATCTAAACATCTTTTTCTACATCTATTGAACAAATTAGAGCATTATGATTCTGAGAACACCTTAAATTCTCTTTTTCTAACACTTTTATTTAAATCATTAATTATTTATATTAATTCAAATACAAATAATGATAAAATGTTAAAAAAATGATTTCCTCATTTTTTCAAGGATAGAAAGGTGGCTTTATAATGAATATATGGTTTATTAGGACAATGATTATTCAAGTATGACAAAAATGATAGCTGACTTTATAAGTACATTTGGCCAATTTTGGTCTAGATTTAGGTCTTGTGAGTTGATATTTAATGAAGTGTTCACTCCTTGAATAAATAGTGATATGATATTAAATTTTAAATGATCATTTTATAAATTCAGTTTGTAGAAATTTATATATGATTTTAAAGTTTGCTAGTTAATAGAACTCTTTCGAATAATGATTTGTAATTTCCTAATAGCTACATGATGCTTATAATCTGGCAAACAAGAAATAACAAATAATTAATTAATACTGATAACTATAGCTAAAATCAACAACGATGAAGTAACAAATCCATAATATTATGTTTGATAAAATAATTTTACCATAATCAGTATTAGTTTCCTATTCTTCATAAGAATATCTTATTATTCTTTTTTGTATGATTCTAATATAAGGTTTTATAATTGTATTGCAAAATATTAAAAATCACTTATAATTGTTCTTTATTCGAAATTCTTTTTAGTCTGAAGCCAAAATATAATAATCTATACATTTAAATGTCATATAAAGGAATCTCAAAAAAATAAACAATAAATCAGTCAAAATATAGTAAAACACTCCTTCAATTCAATACAAGTTCAGAATTTAGGTATTGAATGTTATGATATTGTATTTATTTAATTAAATGATTTTAATTCATCATTATTTCATATACCATAAATGTTAAATGAAGTATAATTTTAATTATTCAAATAAATTATTAAATGTATAAGTTAATTTTTAAATCTATTCCTAAATGATTTTTGTAATTGATTATTTAGATTCCTTAAATTTTATGGTGGAATTCAAGTAATCATTTATTTGTTAACAACTCAAGTGTACTAATCTTTAATTTTATAATTAATATTTCTATCTGATTCCCCATATTAATTAGGATAATGATTGATTCACATTTTCTACATATTTATTAAGATCTCCAATCAAATTATCACAATCTTTATTTTTACTTCCAATGAATTAAATCAAGCTGTTTATTTTTTCAACATCATCAAAATGATCAAGATGGATTCTTCCTTTTGTTTTTTACTAACACTTAAAACAATTTAATCTAAATTC